CGACTTGGAATAATTCCCATTTTATGTTTGAACATAAACAAAATATTTTGATATATATTAATTTGGTAAATGTTTAAAGCATTCATCTGCTTTAGTAATGGGTTTGCGTGAGTAAGTTTGTTTTTATAAAATAATAATTCTTGAGGCGAGTTTCTGTCGTCTATAGAGTGAACTTAATTTAGTTTTATGGGTACTTGCCCATGTTATATTGGCATATGATAGATAGCTGTGTATAAAGCATATGATAGATAGCTGTGTATAAATTTTCGAACGATAATTAATTTCTTGCTTTATTGGGGTAGCCTTTTTTTTTGGTTGAAGTGAAAGAAGATGTATTTAGTTTTGTTTAAGTTTAATGACAATTTGTTAGCTCTGAACCATGTGTTAAGTTTAATAAGTTCTAAGTTTGCGGTTATAAAGAGGTCACTGATTGAGCTAGAAGAATAAAACAGGTTAGTGTCGTCTGCAAAAATTATGCAATCTAGCTTGGGTGAGACTTTAGGGAGGTCGTTGACATAAATTAAAAACAGAAGAGGAGATAGAAAAGATCCTTGAGGAACCCCACATTTGACTTTTAGTTGTTTCGAGTTGTTTTAGTGATCTATGGTAACACATTGTTGTCTGTTGTCTAGGTAGTTGGCAAACCATTTTATAGTTTGATTTTTTATGCCATATTTTTCCATTTTTTTTAGTAGTATTGTGTGGTCTACTGTGTCAAACGCCTTTGTAAGATCAATAAAGACTCCTATATATTGTCTCCTATATATATATATATATATATATATATATATATATATATATATATATATATATATATATATATATATATATATATATATATATATGTGTGTATGTATGTATGTATGTATATATATATATATATATATATATATATATATATATATATATATATATATATATATATATATATATATATATATTGTCAGTAAGAGTAATTTCGGAATTAATTTGTTATTAATTTTGTTGAAATCGATACTTAGAGAGGGAAAAATTGATAGGAATGTCTTTTTTTGTTGCTTTGAATGAAATAAAATATATTTAGTTTTTTGTGGTGTAGTGTGACGTGTGATTTTTAACAAAATCACATGTTACACTACACCACAACTTAAATCCCCATTTAATAGGCTTGTCTTTTATTTATTGTTTCATGAAGTTTTGACCTTAAAATTTTATCATGTGCTCATTTATTGACTGCTGCCTGTTTGCATTTCTTGCAGATTGGAAAAAATTATTGAAGTGGTTAATCAGTGAACGGACTTTAAAAACCTGTAAATTGTGGAAAAAACCTGTAAAATGTGGAAACAAAAAAAAAAAAAAAACTTCTTGGAAACATTTAATCATAATCTGCAAAATACAAAGCGGAGCAAATTTTCTCAAACGGGGTTTAAGGCATTATATTTGTTACAAATAGGACCTAAAGATCTGGTAGACTAGGCCAAAAAAGATTGATAGAGGGTAGAACATGTTCCATATTATACAAAATACATATACAAAATCCAAAAAAAGCACACATTTTTTTCTTTATTGGTCTGAAATGGACTTTTTGGTTCATATATAACTTACTCTGTTTTGCAACCAGCAAAATTAAGGTATCAAACTAAAACACTTTTGAAAAACAGAAACAAAATCAATACCTGTAGATTCTATAAAGTTTAAGTTTACTTGTCCATAATTATATTTAAATGTTACATATATGATTTTTAAGGTCTGTCTTTTCCGCTTAAAATCAATATCAGGGTGTCCTGATTTACAGGTTAATTCGAATTTGATTTCATCAGTAATTGCAGGTTCTCATCTTTTTTGGTACTGGAGTGGGATCAGACCTGTAAGTGTATATTAATTGATAAAATATCTGTAAAACTCTAAACTTCCTTATTATTTTAATATTAAATAATTTTAAATTTTTAAAATGAAGAAACTGAATACAGAATACTGAAATGAATATTTTTTCACCATCATTGCTGTTGTTAGCAAACGTTTGGTGTATATCTGATTCACTTATTTTGAACAATCATTCGCATTCAGACATTGTTTTTAGTGTGTTTATATAAGTTGTTAAAAACAAACATCGTAAATTTATATGTTAAAAAAATTTCACTTGGTGGCCATACAACATGTAAGTTCCATTAACAAAACTGCTTACTGAATTGTGAATTATCACAAAAAAATTAAAATAATTATTAAAATTTATTAAAAACATTCACAAGTGCAAAAAATAAATGTTCAGTAAAAATAGTGGAATAAACATATTCTAATTGTTATATATTAGTTAGATTTCAATGAGACTGGATTATTATTTAGAACATTTGTAAAACATTTTTTTTTTTTTTTTTTTTTTTTTTTTAATTTTACATTTGTTGGTCGTATTACAACTATATATTGCCAAAAAAAGTAAAATAAAAATAAAAATAATGATAATAATAATAAACTTTTACAAATATAAAATAAGGTATATGAAAGAAGATCAAAGGATCTTGTCGTCAGAACCTTAAATAAGTTCAAACAAGCATTAACAGTATCAAATTTTTACAAATTTCATATATATATAATCCAAATATATATTTTATAATCCAAAGAGAGATCACGCGGATCTACTCACCAATATTTTATATAAACGTATACGTGAAGTAAAGAATATAAAATCAACAAAATAAGTAAGAATAAACTTTTTACAAATATAAATAAGAAAAGGCAAAGTTATTAATTTATATTATTAATAATAACATAATACGTCTTCTAATGAAAAAATTAGGGTTTTTAATTTACTTTTAAAAAAACGAAAAGTAATGGGTAGTTCGAATTTCCGCGGTACTTTTAGAGCACATTAAGGTGCTCTAAAAGTACCGCGGAAGTTATTTAATAGGACCCTAACCACTGCGCCACGGCTGCAGTAGTTAGAGTTCTAATGAATAACTTCCTCTCGCGCGCAGAGAATTTTAGAAAATTATAGCGCCTTATGTTCAAGGAAAATCTCCGCGGAAGGGAGCCATTAAACTTCTACTTCTGGTTAGTATTTTAATTCTGAATGACGTCCTTTATGGACAACTCCCAAGATGATAAAGCAAAGCTAAAGCTGTTTTACAATTATCAGAATATATTAGTTTTGGTTTAAAAGTAAATTTAAACCAAAATTTTTAAATTAATATATACACAAAGAGGTTTAACCATTAGTTTCTTTTTATATGGATTATGGTAGTAGATTCATGAAATATAAATTGAGCCCTGGAACTGCACATAATCACCTAAAATTAGTAATTGGATATGCATAAAATAATTTTAAATTTGACTGTCACATTATGTTTATAGCTATGATGCTTTAATAAAACTAGTAACTATGCAAAATGAACCGTTGCCATGCATTTCAGGTCACAATCAAACAAATAAAAAATCCATAGTACCATTATATTTATAGAACAAAAATACTCAATATGGTAATTATGGGAGTCATCCGATAAAGTTATTACTTTTGTTCAGTTTATATTCATTATGAATAATATGTGGTTGCCAAGAAATTTAGGTATCCACTAATGTCATCAATGAAAATCGCAATGCTCAAATTAGTAAACAGGGAAAAATGATCAATAAATCTTTTTTATATCACGAGTTATTAGTTTTATCCAGTAAAAGTGAACTCTGGCCCACAGTGCTACGGTTCATTTAAAGCGAAAACGACTGTTTAGGGAATACAATTTCCTTTAAAATCTACTTTTATTATTTTTAATTGTTCAATATCTCATAGTTTAAATATTTTTAACTTAAAGATTTCTTTAATGTTTTCAACTTGATGATTTTATAACTGCATTGTCACTTGACAAATGCAATGTTGATTTTTTGGAACCTGGATCTTCAGAACTTGCACCAAGTACCCTTACAAAAATTTCTCCTATAATAATTACTAAAGTTACAAGCTGTTCTTGTTGATTAAGCTTAGTTGAGAATAAAATTACTAAAACCGCTGATCAATGTTACACAAAAATGGTATAGAAATAAAAACCGATAAAACCTCGAAAATTATAAAAAAAAAATGTTGTGAATAAACAATTAGATTATAATTATTTAAAAGGTAAACAATGATTCAACTTTTATTCTTTGACTTAATTCGCTAGAAAAATAACGAAATATAAAAAAAGTTCTGGGTGGGGTTTTAGGCTTGTATTGCCATTTTAATACATTTAGTACATTTTGTATTTATAGTACATTTTTAAAAAAAAATGATATTTTCTTCAATTTATTTTAGCTGAGAGCAATATATGTATATAGTTTCTATAACTAAACAATCATAGCACTTATATAATCGCACAACCATGCCACTTAACCGAAAAATATATATTTTTAAATGCAATATTTACATAACAATATTCATCAGAATATAAAAAACCCGCGTCATTAGACTTCTTAATTTGGAGTTTTCAGAATATTCTTCATTAATAATCCATTAACTTTGGAAAAAATACAATATATGTGCAATTTTACGGGGTAGGGTTGAAAATTACTTTCTTTAGGGTGGGTGGGGGTGTTAGTTACCCCCCCCCCCCCCCCCAAAGAAGGTGATTTTTAAAATATTCGTTTAGTAAAAAATTTGTAAAAAAACGAATTTAGTCGACTAGCCGACTAAATTCGTTTTTTTACGAATTTAGTCGGCTAGTCGGATATCTGAAACTATTCAGTCGGGTAAATTTTAGTTGTGAGGACTTTTTTTTTTAAGGAATCAGTCGGTACTTTGGTTCACCACCCCCCTCCCCCACTCCTCCTTTATTTTATTCGTAGAATCGCCTTTGTATATATGCGTAATGCTATTTAATCAACCAAACATACATATAAACATACACACATACATATATATAAAAAATAAACACACACGCACACAATTTTTGATTTTTGAGAAAAAGATTTTTTTATTAACTATATTACTTTTGGGTGTTATATATATTTAAAAAAATCATAATATACATTTTTTTTTGTCATTAATTTGGTCTTAATAAATACAAATAAGACAAATGAAGATTTATAAACTTATATAAGGTTTATAAGTTTCATGTTATTTTTAATATATAATAATAATTTAAATAAAGATTTCAACAAAGAAAGATGCTGCTAAGAAATCTTGTGATCATTCTGGTAATCTGTGTCAAAATGCGATTAAAGATAAAACGTTTATGTAATAAAAATTAAGGGATAAAAAAAGTTCATTACACAGTCAAATTTAATTTAACATCTCTAAACGAGATGTAATCTCAAATTTAAAATATTTCATTTTTCTATGATTTAAGATTCAATATATTTGATATTCAATTATATTTATTGATGAACTCGATCATTTCAGATAAGTTTTCCAAGTGGTAATGCCTAAATATTAAAAATAATAATAATAATAATATTAACAATCTAAAAAACGAACTAAAAAAGTTGAATAAAAAAAACTTTGCTTACTTTGATATATTTTCATAAATCTTTAATTTTTGCATAAATTGATCCCGTGGAATATTATTACTATAGGTACCAGCACAGTCGCAATACTTGGACATATTTTTGTCTTTAATCTTTAAATAAAAAAAAAGCTTGAAAAAATTTTACTTAATAACTTAAAAAAAAAAATTGTAAACTAAGTTTCATTGCTGCTGTTACACATGCCATACAATGTAAAACTTGTCGTTGGTTACTTAACTTTTTTGGTTTTACTAGTATACGTGGAAAACATTCGGTCGTTTATTATCGTGAGGAACATTTGGTCGTTAATTATCGTGAGAAATATTCGGTCGTTAATTATCTTTATTAGATTAAATAGCAATACAGAAAAGTAAAAAGAAACTCAAATATAAAAATATACCATTTTGCATTTAGTACACTTCAGATCTTGTAAGGTATACGTCATAGAGCGACGCATTAACATTGAAATAAGATGCTGTTCGATGACTTCTAATGAGTAATTAACACCACACTCAGGGTTAGAGCACCGAATACTTGCTCTAAAATACAAAACACATAATGTGGCAGTGCAACGTGAGTACAAATTCATTTGGCCTATAAATCTTTTAATAAAATTAGCAAATAAAAAAAATCTAACGGTTGATTTCCTCTGGCAGGAGTTATACAAGCATCGCGACATAAATCTAAATCTCGACAGCTATTGCAGTATTCACAGATCACCTAAACCCACCAAGGATTATATTAATTATATTAATTTTGTATATATTATATCCATTTTATATATTATATTAATTTTACTTAGTCAGAATTAGAACTTAGGTCAAGTATTGCAAGAGATAAGATATTACAAGAGATATTACAAGAGATAAGATATTACAAGAGACATCAGGTATTAGACTCACCTCAGGCACTACCAGGGACATACATGGGTCTTGAAAATTCGCTTCATCAGCAAAACTTCCAACACCTATCAACTTTAACAAATCCCTTTTCAATTTATCTACTTGACTTTGAATATTTACATCAAGACGTAAAACCTAAAAACAAAAGATCTTTGTTAACAAAACACACAAGAAGATTAGTAACCAATTAATTTTTACTATATAACATAATGGGTGACTTGGGATTTAATTTTACAATTGCATTTATGCTATTAAAAAATACAGCTGCATTTATGCATATTAAAATTGATATTTATAATGCAGATATAAATATATCAAGACTTTTTTTTTTAATTTAAAGAAATCATCAATTTATTTGATGACTGGTTAATATTTATATTAAAAAAAAAATTTATTTTAAGAATATAAAATTTTAACGAATAATTTATAAATATTTTTCACTTTAAAAAATCATTAAACAAAAAACTAAAAAACTTTGCAACTTAATGTTAAATTAAACGCATTAACTTTAGCATCACTTCTGGATCATATACCAACTGCTTTACATTTTATATAAACAGTAATCAAATTTAAATTAAGAGTAAATAAATAGAGTGAATGGGTATGACCAAACATTTAGACAAAAATTTAAATACTAACTTGACAAACTGCTTTCACAAACTCAAGTCCTGGACTTTTCAAAGGTAGATAGGATCCCGCAAGTAAAGGAAACACTGGGTCACCATCTTTATTAACAGATGTTGAAACAGAGCGGTGAATTTTTTGAGTAATTCTGAAGCGATAAAAAAAATAAATGAAATGACCAACATTACGATTTTTTCAGCAATCTTTTTTAGCTAAGCGCTTTTGAGTAAAACTCAACATATGATCGTCAAACCATACTTACCCAAATAATTGTTCAGTGAGAACATTTTGAATTCTTTCTTGAGAAAACTGAACCATACTAGGTGTACATACTGTTTCTGCCATACGCTGCAAAAATATATAAAATATTTGGAGATTTTTTTTAAATCTATGTATGTAATGATGAAAACAGTGTAAACTAAAAAATTTGATAAGTGATTTTTTACTAGTTTATTATGTTTTTTTAAGAACATTGAACAGTCTACTTTATAAAATACATTTGTAATTTGTGTGTGCGTGTATATATATACACACACACACACACACACACACACACACACACACACACATATATATATATACAAACCTCGGAATTAGGGTCGGCAAAAATCCTGAAAGTGTTTGAGGTCGTCAAAAAATTGCCAACCTCGTTTCTATGTTTCTTTCTCTCTCTCTCTCTCTCTCTCTCTCTCTCTCTCTCTCTCTCTATATATATATATATATATATATATATATATATATATATATATATATATATATATATATATATATATATATATATATATATATATTAAACCACTACCAAGTTTAAGTCAACACTCGGCTCACTTTGGGAAATAATCTATTTATATTCAATAAAATTATTCTCAATTTAAAAAATTTAAAAATTTGATCATTTTTTTGGGAAAAACAAAACAAATTAAATGTTTATAATTTCATTAAGTATTACAAAATAAAACAGAACGTTGCTTAAAATAATATTTTTCGAGTCATAAACTGGTATAATAACAAGTTTGGATTTTTAAATGGGTTTTCATTTTTTTATTGAGAAAAGGTTACTTTTTGCAATATTTTAAGATATAAAATATTATATAAAATCTAATATGGTTAAAATATTGATATTAGCAATATATTTAGCTACTGTATTTTATGGTATTTTCACATGATATCATCTTAAATAAAAAATCTTTTTTAGACTGAATTTAAATATTAAAAATGAATGCATAATGTGGATCTGGGCGACCAACAAGAAAATGAACACATAATATTATAACTAGACATCAAAGTGAAAGATATGCTGGGCAACCAAATAAACTACCTGTAAGTGACCTACCAACATATAAACAGATTATTCAATATACCTATAAGTTCAAAAAAGAAATAACTGCAACTGAAAAAAATTGATTCTCCTGCCATAGTCTTTAAACTGATTGAAGAAATTTTAAAAATTTGAAAAAAACGTGAATCCAAATCTTTTATAATGAAGGAGAAACCTCTATGAAATAAGTTACAAAGAACATTTTAAAAAGTAATTGCAGCTGAACAATCTAAAGCTTCAAATTAACAGTGATTGTAGGTTGGAAAATAACCTTTTAAAATAATTTGATTTATCAGCATGCAGATCTGAACTTCCTCTTTTAAATTGCGATAACAGGTTTAAAGTTACAATACATTTTCAAAAAACCACAACGTTAAACAATATCTGTTCAAACAAATTTGAACTAAAATGCCAACAAATTTTATAGCTGTAAAGTTTTTTATTTCTTCTCAAATTATGGCATTATATTTTAATATACTTATTTGAAATCCCTTTATTATTGTTCTATACAAGTGTTGCTCTAACATGCACTATATATGTCTAAAATTTATCTCAAATTAATTAATTATACATATTAGAAATCCCTTTATAATTGTTCTAAATTATAAAGGGATTTCTAATATGTATTTGTGACTATATTGCCAACAAATTTCACAACTGTAAAGTTTTTTATTACTTCTAAAAATATGGTATTATATTTTAATATACATATTTGAAATTCCTTTATAATTGTTCTATACAAGGGTTGCTCTAACAAGCACTATGTATGTCACTGTGAAGAAAGCAAACAGATTACATTTAATTTTTTTTTTCTAGAACAAGAGTATTTAAAGATTTAGAAAATTAAGCAAAGGCCCTTTGGAACCTGGCAGATGATAAGTGCCAAAATGATAAGAAAGAGACCAAGATTGGAAGAAAAAATAGGATAAAATTAATATAACAAGTGACGCAACAGTAGATGATAGAATCAAAAACCTATTCCGACGTTTGAAGTTTTGTGTAAATTGATGACCCGATAATAAATTGTTTTTAATAATTGGGTAGCGTAAAAAACAAAATATACATTTATAATTTACTTCTATATAAAAATGTGTAGCGATGCGGGATCAATTCCTCTTGAGTGTTTGTACTTTTATTTTTGTACTTTTATATCATATTTTAAAGTAGTTCTAGTTTTATGCGTAATGTTTATGATTGTTATTAATAAAAAGTTATACTGTTTATAAAATTTTATTTATCATAAAAATTAGGAAATGTGCACATATAGACTGACTTGAACATGTAGAACATGCAGAAAATGTACATACATCGAGTGTACATGCAGGGAGTGTACATAAATTGACTAAGGGTTTTGGTTTGGGCAGGCAATAAGTTAAAAAAATAGTTTATGTTAAAAAGTGTTTGAAAATCTAGGCAAACATTTATAATCCGGTCATAGATTTATACAAAACTTCAAATGCCGGAACTTCAAACTAACACATCACTCCATTAAGATAATGATTGTATCAGTGAAACTTATGATGTGGAAATAGATAACAATGATGATTATAAAAACCAGAACCATGAGTTTTTTGCAAAACCACTGTGTAAAAAAATTACATAGATTTAACTAAGATTGACAAAGCTGCTATCAGGTTCAAAGTTGTGACACTGCAACATTTGCCATAGCAACTGTTACCTTGATAGACTATCATATTATAACTCAGAACGACAGATCACAAATTATCACTAAAAAAAGATATTTGACATATACTTGACATATAAACTAAAATATTGTTATATTTAAAATTTGTTCACTTGATTTAGAACCGTTTGATTTGTTTAGTTATACTATGAATTTTTATCATTACTTTAGTTTGTCTATTGTAAAAACACAGTTTTAATTAAGTAAACTTTTATGATTTGAAATTTACTCATTAAATAACAGATCAAGAAAATTGTTTATCACAATTAATGTGAGAATGACTTTATTTTCTGGTAGTATCAACTTGTTCCTCAGCACAGCAACACTGTTTGTCAAGGTTTGTGTTTTCGGAGTAAAAGTTGAGAGAGGGTTGTAACCACACTGATAGAAAAAAAAAGAAGCATCCAGGTGGGTTTGTACTGCTAATTAACACCTGTACCATAAAATTTGAGACAAGTTTTAAACTTAAAAAAAAACTTTAAAATAAAAATAAAAGATTTTTGGTATGCTCATAGAATAAAATATACACTTTTACAGGACAAAACTGATAACTCCTTATATAAAAAATGTTTATGGGCCATTTATGCACTGCTTACTAATTTGAGGACTATGGTTTCAATGGTGATATTTTTTAAATTTTGAGTAGCAATGGATACCTAAAGTGCTAAGCAATGTACAATAAGCAATAACAAATAAACCTGTATCATATAATATGAGACAAGCTTTAATCAGCAATAATTCGTAAATTTGAAAAAAAAAAGTAATAGGTATCAAATTAAAACCTCTATCAAATAGTATATAAAATTGTCTAATTATGTTATTATTAGGTGTAATTATGTTATTGCTAATTTCTATAACAATTTATTATTTTTGAAACTACTATTATTTAATGATGATGATAATAATAATGATGATTACGATGATCATGTTTGTAAAGACATATATTTAAAAAAATAAAATGAATTTTGAATAAAAAATATATACTCAAAGATATATAAATGTTTAAGTCAAAATGGTAATAGCAATAAGAATACAGCATACTTCTAGCTGAGTACTGATACCTCTTCTTTTCACAGGGGTATCAACACCAGATGGCAATCTTGCAGTTTCCTCAATTATATGTACATAAACAGCATGGATATGACCAGCAATAGCAATCTATAAAAAAAATGCACATGAGTGTATATATGTATCTACATTTCATGTACATACAGTTTCATGTCCGTACATTGCATGTACATTGTATTTACATTAGTACATACATATAAATGTATGAATATATCATCAATACTTTGACTCGCCCACACTCCCCTAAAACAGTTTACAGGAGCAATTTACGGCTCTTGCAAAGTATAATTTTTCTCATGAAGGTATAATTAAAATTACAAGAGTGCTAATTTAAATGAGGAGCAGCTCGCACAGCTCCCCAAATTCGTTTTAGGAGAGCTTTTCTCAGCTCTCGTGCTCATTTGTTCCCACCGAGGCCTATATATATATATATATATATATATATATATATATATATATATATATATATATATATATATATATATAGCATACAAAGTTATATATAAACATTTTCATTAATTGGTACAGAGTATGTTAAGTCATAGGTATGATCATGCCACTAGGGATATGATATTGCATTTTAGTCATGAGTATTTCCTTTGTAATAATAATAAAAATAATTGAACGCATTAAAATGAGGCAAGTTAATAAAAAAAGAATATAAAATTGTAATTATGAAGATAATAATTATATATAATTTGAAAATAAATGACAATTTAGATAAAAACTTAAAAGTTTTCCATTTTCAACGAAAATAAAAAACTTTATAAAAGCTTAAACCTTTTACAGAAGTTTGAACCTGTTCAATCTTCTGTAAAAAACTAAAAGTACTAACAACATTAAGAAATTAGATGTTTATATGTTGTAAACTTAAAACTGTGTATTTGATTTTAGGGAAAAATACGTACGTCATACAACTTAAAATAGTAAATATTCCTTTTATTAGTTAAACTTTAAGCATAATATTAAATTTATTTACATAAATATTTACCTGAAAGAAGTTTTGACATGATCCTGCTGTTGGAAGAAATTTGCAAATGTTCCAATTCATTTCCACTTTTTTCTTCAATAAAAAATAATTGTGCTCAGCCATTGTGTTTTCCACACACAAAGACACACACACAAAGACACACAAACACACACACACATACACACACACATATATATATATATATCAATTTATTTATTTAATTATTTAAACTTTACTCAAAATAGCAATCATAATCTTAAAAAACAAATCTTAAAAACATAACAAAAAAATTTTGATGTTATACTTGATATTATAATTATAATTTTAAGAATTTGCAAACAAACGTGTTTTAAACAAAACACGTTTGTTTAAAACACGTTTGTTTTGCTTGTTTAATAAAGGAAATAGTGTTGAAATTTGTTGAAAATTGTCATTATTCTTCATCAAGCATAAAATTAACAGTTTATGAACCACCGGGTTTAAACAGTTCAGCTTAATTTAAAACTTTTGACAAGAGAACAGGATTTAAACATTCTTTTTAATATCTTACATTTTCAAAAAAACTCTAACCAAAATTTGTATGTTTTGAGTATGATTTATTAAATATATTTAATCTCCTTTACCCCTCTATTCATAAAAACTTTCAAAAGCACTTGAACAATGACTTCACTAAAATTAGATTTATACTGCAAAAATATGTTTATTTTTGCAGATAAAACTTTAAATCTTTTTGAATTCGATATGAGAATGCATTCATATGAGAAACTGAATTTATATGGGAGCCAAATCTGGCAAATAGGATGGATGTTGCAGCAATTCGTACTTCAATTCAGTAATTTTGGCAATGGTTTTTTGAGTTGTGTAAGCAGGTGAATTATCCTGATGAAAAATGATTTTTTTCTTCTGTAAAATGGATCTTTTTTCAAGAATTTTTTTATCCAATTGGTCCAAAAGGCTACAATAATAATCAGAATTGATTATTTTACCGGTTTGGGGGCAATCCACCAACAAAATTCCTTTTGCATTCCAAACTGACGCTAACATCTTCTTGGCCAATTTCTGGACACGAACTCGCTTTGGAGCAGAAGATTCAGACCCACACTACTCTTTATCCTCTTGTTGTTAAGAAAGTCGGGTTTGAAGGTGTTTTTGTTGCATTGTTAGCAAATGCGGCACCTATTGTGCACACAGCTTTTTTAAACCCAAAATCTCACTTAAAATATTATGTGCTGCACCATGTGAGATGTGTATGGTGTCAACTACCTCATCCACAGTCAACCGCCTGTTTTCCAAAACCAAATCCTGTATTTTTGCTATGATTTATCATATTGATGCACATTTTGGACGCCCTTCTCGTGGATCATCTACAAAACTTGTACGGCCACGCTTAAACTCAGCAACACAATTATATACTGTTGCAAGTGAAGGTGAAGAATCCTTATACACTTTTAACAATTTTTCATGAATCTGTTTTGATTCTACACCTTCCAACAATAGGAATTCAATCACTGCTCGATACTTGATTTTTTCCATATTAAAAAAACACTGTGACACTCCTACTTTAAACAACTGTGAATATAAGACTAATCCACTAATCTACATGAAACTTTGCATGAGTTCATACAAAAGTAGTACCAATGTTAGAGAAATAAAATGGCAGACCTATTACCGCCATTTATAAGTGATTCTAGAAACTTATTGATTGGCCTGGTATAAGTGTTGCCATGGATCAATAACTTTAATGTCATCAAAAAGGACACTCCACAGTACTTTAAATGAATTTTTTTGTTGTTATGTTTTTAAGACTTTTAATATCTGATGATTGCCATTTTGTGTTAATCTCTGAGTAATGATTAAAGTAAATCAAGTGTAAATCAAGTGTTTAGTTTTTACTAACTTTGCTGAACTTTGGTATTGAGCACTTTTTAACAAGAAGTATTTACATAATTACTATATATATATATATATATATATATATATATATATATATATATATATATATATATATATATATATATATATATATATATATACATATATATATATATATATATATATATATATATATATATATATATATATATATATATATATATATATAAATTATGAAAAAAAAACTAAAAAAAAAAGCAAAAAAAAAAATTTTAATTTAGATAAGCAACCTCTCTGATTGGTAGATACCTGTTTTGCTAATGATACAAGATCTGTATCTTCTTCATCATCAACTGTTGATATGCATAGTTCACCATTTTTATAGAAATTATTAGGAATTTCAGAAAGGTAGATTCCTCCTTGATTAGACTGAAACATGAAAAAAATTATTTTAAAAATTTTTGAAAACTTTTTAAAATTCTTTTCAAAACTACTTTCTCTTACTTTATCCATCCAAAGTAGATATTCCCAGCATGCTTTTGGTTCTAAGCGTATACTTTTAAACAACATCTTTGATAGAATGCTATTCATTATGTACTGTACATATGCCAGACCATCTTTTAATCTACAAGTATTATTTAATACAGTTACAATACTAACAAAATAGAAAACTAGTATCTAGAGTTACATTAAAAGTTGCATAAAAAGTTGGATCTGAATTTATTTGTAAGTTATAAACAACAAATATCACAAACTTTCTCTTCTTTGTGTTGAGAATAATTTTATTAAAACTTGCATAAACAATAGTTGAACCAAGTTTTTTGAACTCTGAGATCAGCTATAAAAAAATACATTAAAAATAAATAATATATGTTATTACAAACGTTATACAAAATATAACATTTATAACGTTTATATCAAAGTTATGATGTATAATAAATTTTATATATGTGCATTACATTGTAAGAATAAACCTGTAACTTATTTTAATGTAAACTTGTAAAGCATTGAAAACTTTGAATATATATATATATATATATATATATATATATATATATATATATATATATATATATATATATATATATATATATATATGTAAATAAATAAAAAA